CAACCATCCACACCAGGCACTTTCCCTTGCAACAGAGCTCACTGTATCACCTGCAAGTATACATCCAACACCACACTCATTCAAGGCCCCTCAGGACAATTCCGCATCACCCAGAGGGCATCTTGTACCTCCAGCTACCTTATTTACTGTATCTCTTGCAGTAAATGCCCAGCCATCTACATTGGGGAAACAGGAAGGAGATTCGGAGACCGCTTCAGGGAACCGCTTGACGGCCACGACCACTCTAATCTCTCCGCCTGTGTTCCCAAAGACGGTTTTCCGAACTCATACGTCAGAAAGACTACCGAAACCAAACTTATCCTGCAGCTAGGATCACACATTTTCCATTCCCTTAACGACAGACTACTGTTCTTTTAAATTTTCTCCATTCATTGGAAGTTTCATTTCACACCTCTCTACACCTATTCTGACTTCACACCTCTTGATTGGCCTCTCTTTCTGTTCCCTGCTCCCGCCTCTCACTCCTCCTCCCTCCCAACCTTTGTTCTCCCGCTACTTTACCTTTGCCTACTGCCCTGTCTCTCTCACACCTGAAGAAGGCTCCACGGCCAAAACGTTGTATTTTCTTTCTTCTTTTTTTCAGCATGGAATAAACCTATTACTTGTTCCTTTGCAGCCTATGCATGCTGACGCAGCTACCCACCTGAAATAATATTCAGAGTTCTTTCAGTACTCCACCTCAGTTTTAAAGTTAGATTTATGCTTTCAAACCATCTGCTGTTATTTTAGAATGTGTGTAATCTTGAGAAGCATGGGAGACAAGGAGAGGAGTAAAAATGAAAGCGGCAGTGAAAATTACAGAAAGAGTGGAAGGTACAGAAAAGGGAAGTGGGATAGCATTGCTTTCCCTCAAGAGGTGTGTTTTTTTAATGCTAACATGCATAGTAACATACTGTACTAGCATAGGGGTAAAGAATTCTCTGAAAAAGAGGAATTGTGCTGGCCTTGAATGAAGAATCCAGTTTGGAGTTTAATGAAATGCATGTGGTAGAAAAGAGTAAGTCTTTTTCACAGTACTGTGATACTCCAATTTTTGGAGATGTGACATATTGACTCTCTTTAATTATCTTGATCAAAAGTAATTTAATTTCTTTTCACACATTACCAATACATGTCTTTGATGTTGGGGTTTTTGCTCTACAGAATTTTGCTATGGAGTATTTTATACAACAAGACAAAACCACCAGTGACAGCTGAAACTCGTTTCAGGCTAATGTGATAATATACATTTATAGCCAATGTGTTATTTACCTCAAGAAATCGTTAATGTTTAAACTTTCTGGCACCTGGCTAATGGCTATTATATTGGAAGGTCATGCAAATATGATGACGTCAGGCTATAAAATGTATGGTTGCTCTTGCAATTTTGTCATATTGGTTTTATGAACCTACAGTAGCACTGAGTGAACCAGACATGTACACATTCTCTAGAAGTTCAGTTAAGACTTCCTGTTATTGTTAAATCTGCTCTTATTAATGATGAAGAGTTTGCCAAGCTCTGAAGTGTTTTGGGACAGAATCTTCAGCAAAATTACTGAACTTGACCATGGAGCCATATCAGTGGAGGAAAGTTGGCAAAAACAAAGATAATGTAAACATATCAGTCTTCTTACTGGAGTAAATATATAAAAGTTTCCTCCTTCCCGTTATTTCATACATGCCAAACACAAGAAAATGGTGCACATTTTACAACTGTGTTAAAAGTAAACCAAGCATAATTTTTGAAAAGGCATGGTCTCATACAAAATTCTGAACATTGTTAAGCATTATGATGGGGGAGGTGTTCCTCTCTTTAAATAAACAATTTGGTATATAATAAAAACTTTATTGTCATTGCTCTTAAACTGATGGACATGTCCAATGTAAAATACGAAGAAAAGTAATACAGATATATCTGTTTACATACAGTATAAGAGTTAACATGTAGGGGTTTTCTCCTTCCTATGTACCATATAGCTTGTTGGCACATAAATGCAGGATTGAATTGTTAATTTATAAATTGTTATGTCTTATGTGTGCCACTGAAAGGTGCACAGTTGACTTCCATGTGTTGCAAGCCAAGCATGTTTTTTTAATTTAAAAATTGAAGGAAAATCAATTAATACTTTTCCTTAATAGGAGCAGCACTAATTCACACTAACACTAAGTTCCTAATTAGATAGGGAATTGATCACATAATGAAATCAGTTTTGGCTTAAGATACTTATCTTTGATTTCTGTTTACTGAAGAATCTAAGTTAATGAGGACAACAACAGTAACTGCTATAGCACATGCATAGCTGTATTTATATGCCAGTAACTTAGTCCTTATTGAAGTTCAGTATATATGTAAAATGATAGAAGAATTCAGCACCCTGGACAGTTCTAGGCACAAATGTGCTTCAGCCATTTGCCTATCCATTCTGCTTGACATCACTAAAACCTTAAGTCAATCTCAAGTTTTAGTTAATTTCTTGCAGAGATTCATATAATACCACGACTGTGCAGATTAAGGACACTTTATACTTTTGCTTTTATGTACCATGCATTTCTGCATTTGTTTTTTTAAACTTGATATGAACTTATTTCTGATGCAATCTTTGTAGCTTTACAGATTCAACCTACTGTATACTATGTATGTACTGTAACCTTCCAATAACAAGTAAATCAAGTACTGTAAATCAAAACATGAAATATATTCACTCTAACTCATAAAAAAAAACAGTGCTTTCTAGACGACTTGCAAAGACCTAATGTACATTTTTGGGAAATGTTATTTTTTTATTAGTGACTGGATTTGATCAGTTGTATAGTACAGTTAACATGAACTTGTAAAAATAAGATTCCACTAGTAAATTAAAAGCATTAATATTGTTTTTCTGTTTTTGCTTTCTACCTTTTATACTATCAACATGATTAATAACAGCGCAAAGGAACAATTTTTTATTTTTTCGAATTTTTGAAGATAAAAGCACATATGTTCTACAGTGTGTGATGTCACTGATATCACTGTAAAAGGTCCCTGATAAAGTCATAGCAATAACTAATAATTCCATTGCCTTTCTAATTTTGTATTAACTCAGTTGTTTCCGATATGTCACCTCTGAAATAATTCACAATAAATTGGGTTTGTTGACTATGAAGATAGACTCTGTTTCATTAAGGCCAGGGCTAAATTTAAGTACAGGAGTTGCAATTAAAGCAAGAGTCTTGTACTTCATGTTCTTAGAGTTAATATTAAATTATAGCTTTTCACATAATATGCACAATAAATCATAAGTCCTTAGCCCAAAAACGAATAATTCAGGATATATAGAAAGTATTAACAGAAACACAAAATTATAATTATATTTTTTAAAATAACTGAAGAAAAAGTTAATATAGAAAAAATGCACGGTAAAGTAAAACATAATTAAATGCACAGCTGTTTTATTTTAGCTTCCTACCCTTATCTTTGATATCCTTTGCTGTCTTACAATAGACACTTACAAATTACAAATTACATAATGTGCTATGACACTCTAATCTGTAGTGATTCAGCTCTTTATCTCTCTGTAATTAAAAATGTGGAATTTAGTGCTTATTTACCTTCTAAACCACAAGAAAGTAACTTTTCTTTTATTTTGTTTTAAATTAGAAAAACTGCATCAGTGCTTTCACATTGAAAACATTCTTGAAGCTCTACCCCCACCTGCTGGAAAAGATCCTGTATAGCACTACAGACCTGTCGGAGCAGTGCAGCCACGAATTTTAATGTTTTTTTATGTTACATGTGGCAAACGTGAATAGTTAACTTTGATTGCAAATAATCTACAAACTGCCAGAAAATTAAAATTAATTTTATTAGAGCTATGATCTTGTTTTCATGAATGCATTCTTGCTGTGTGGTTGGTTTTATACTGTTTATAGTATATAGGGAACCTAATGATGTAACTTGTGGTATAGAGCTTTGTGGTAGAAGATAATATTCTAGATTTTGGGTTCCTTTTGGTTTGAACAAAGTCACAAGGTGGTCATGTACAAGAGATGTTATGGTTACATTTACTTTCTGCTGGGTTACATTTACTTTCTGCATGGTTGTCAAAATACCAAGTTTTTGTTTAGTTCTTGAACTTAACTTGCATGAGCTCATAGATTTGCTCCTTTGTGGGTAAGAAGTGGATAATACATTCATGGAATAAATTATTTATTAATTAGGAATCAAATCTTATTGTTGTTGGATATTTTTAAAGATGTTTGGATTTTCCTATTCGGTGCAGCCCATTTTAGGATTTTTACTACATGAATATCTGCATCTTATAATTCTAGAAATAAAACTCTGCTTCAGGTTTTAACAATCAGCACTGGATTTGAGAAAGTAGGTCAATATTAATGTTCAAACATAAACGTCTGGAAAAATACAAGTTTTTGTGCAATGAGAACATTAGGCACGATTTCAAAATGAGGCCTGCCAACTTTTTTTTTATTAATCCTAATAGCATGAGCCTTCAGTACAAAGGCAAGAAATCTGATTAGGAAGAAGTGTATTCATTTCTGGATTGTTATTTATTACTTACCAACACATGGAATTGAATTTCAACTTGTATGGTGAATGATAACTTGATCAGTCACCTGCCAATCACTTCTTTTCTTTAATATATTTTACACATTAAATTGTAATTTTACAATGTCGTATACAGTACACTGTCATATACAGTACATAAACCATAGTTCAACAATGTAGGGATAAAGTCTCAAGTTGTTGTTTTATAAATATTTAAAACACGTTTGTTATCAAAGAGTGGGAGGCTTCCATTATAGACATAGGATTACAAAAGTTTTTCTTTTCTTTTCCTTTATTTTGTTTTAACTGATCAACTATGCTGGCTCACTGTTTTGCAGAAATACCTTTTACCATATATTGTATTCTGTTTTTGCCAAACCTTTAAGATTCATTTCATCATCAAATACATTTGTGTGGTCTATAAAAGCATGTTTAATAATTTATTTTTTCTCTTCAGGGCGACCCTACTCTGTGGGCTTTACGAATAACAGCTGGGGAGGGCTATACCCCAGAACCGACTGAACTTGACCAGCTCCTTGAAATTGACTCCAAACTTCAGGTCTTGCTGTCTCCTGAGGACTTCCTGTCTCTGCACAGTCCTTACTCCAACCACAGTGTACTTCTGGTATGTACTGTTATATGAGTCAGTGTCTGATGGAGATTATAGAATGTGATTTAGCAATATTTTCTTGGATGAAGTCATTCACCTATCTGTTACTAAACGCTCGCACAAACCATACGAGAGTTTATCAGCATTACACTATCTTTCCATTAAATTAGTTTCAGTGATCTAAGCGTATGTTGAATTCCTAGCTGGAACCAGATTTCATCTGTTAAATTCATACAAGCATTTAAGTGCATTAGCGTTACTTTGGTTTGGTGATAAAATGAAGTCTCCATTTCTGCCTCTCTAATAAACTACATTTCTTGATGTCTGTTATAATGTGGAAGCCTTTGATGCAGTGAACCCTGTTGGGCAAAGCCCCCTACAGCATGTGTAAAAGCTCGATAAGCAGGGCATATTCTGTGTTTTTCATCTTGATTTTCAGCACTTTGACATTCACGCAGTTTTAATCACTTCACAGTCTAATCTGTTTTCTCGCTAATAATGTGCTTAAATGCATAAGCAACAGTCAATGTGTGTCATGGTCAGTCTGTGAATGAACAATTAATCAGTATAATGCCAACATCTGTTTGAATTGTGCTTTCTTTTGTTATATCTGTATTTTTTATTAGTAAACATTAAGGATAATTTATGGATTTGAATACATTTTCATTTTCAAGTTTTAATTTTCAGACACTTTTAGAAACGAAGAGTTGCAAATACATTTTGTGGTACTAAGAATGATTTTCATTAATTTTAACTCACTGCAGATGATTAAAGAAATATGCGTAAGATGAACTTTTTCAAACAACAAGCTGCTGTTTTTGGTCCAAATGATTAATAGATTTCAAGAACTGGAAGGAAAGCATGCCATTAGCTTTGGGCAAAAGTATTATAAAATCATCACATGGCTTTTGGGTGTTTTTCTTGGATGTTGACAAGTTTCAGTGTTTGATTCTTTTTTTTTCCTTTTGCAAGGTAAACTAATATGCTTTTTGCTTGTATAAAATTCTGCCCCTGATCATCTGCTGTGGTGATAGAAAGGGACTTCAGGAATGTGCACATTTGCAGGTTAGAAATAGTGTAATTCATTGGACATAGTTTTAAGGGCACATGAAGCAACAAAACAACAAAGGTTAGTTTCTTTGCTTCAAATTATTATTTCCAAATGTATTTCAGATTATTAAGTACATTTTCATTAATTTAATTAAAATAATACATTTCTAAGACCAAATGTAAAACTAGAAGATTATTTTGAGAACTCTTGGATGGTTCCTAACTTCTAATTGCTCTTTTATGTGTCTTTTTAAAGTTGTTTATATGAGACAGTATTTGAGATATTTTGAAATGGTGCCTTTGGACCTGTCTTTTGCAACATCCTGCTTGGTTCATCAGCCATTTAAACAAAGATTTACATAAGTCATTTCTCTGATCATCAAAACATTATGTGGAGCCATGAAGATAAGTGATTCTACTAATGTTTGCAACTACTAGCAATATCAGCAACAGACAATAAATTGCTACATAAATTGCTTATATTTTTAAATGAAGGTTGTATTGACATTTCTTCAGTATACTGTACTTGTTGAAGACACATCTAGAAAGTAACTCCTGAAATAAGACTAGTTCCTTTGTGTTAGGCTGTTTATAATGTGTTGTATGATGGATGTCTTGTGTGTTTGTGAGCCTTCTTCAGGTGTGAGGCTGTTGTACTTTGTAGGTGTACTGTGTTAGTGGGTTATTTGTAAACTAGGTTTATGAGGGCCTAACTCAAGGAAAACTGATTGAATTCATCCAATTGTATTAGAGATTCCCTATGGTGTCATTAGGGAAGCTGGATGCATTTCTAAGAAGAATTAGGTCCCAGGGTAAGTTAACCAGTCTTTAAGAGGACCTGAATAGGGCTGCATATAATTTAATTATTCAAAATAGTGTTTTCTGCAAGGGAGTTAGAACTACTTTGACAGGGGAGATATCAGCAGTCATTTGAATTGATCTGAACTTTACGAGAATAAATAAAATAACTGGTCCACTAGCAAGGAAGGAAAGTAATGTTCTTCCCATGTACCCATCCATGTTGTCACATCTTCATTAACTTCATAAGTGCTATTCAACTTGTTTTGTTGAGCTGCAGGTCTGGGTAGAATAAAAAATTCTGACTTTGATCAAAAACATTTGGTGATTAGTATAAAGAAAAGGAATTCTGCTCTAAATTAAGCATCAGGAGATACCTTCTTCTGGGAAATTACACACATTGGAATTAAGTTTTTAATTAAGTTTGTCAGTAGCAGCAACCCCAATGTATTTAAAATTGTCTACAACAGACATTGTCATTAACTCTACAGTGATGTAATGTTTTTTGCTGTTAACATGAATTTGGTTTACATTCTTTATGGGTGTGGATACTAAGAGGGGGAATAACAGCTGGCTTGAAACAAAATGTCAGAGACACTATACTTCTCTTCTTTTTAATACTATATTTGTTTTCTGCTTAATGTTAACTAATTATATAATTATCAATGTTATTTTATTAGTTCTTTATGAAAGAGCAATATTATGAAAGAGAGCATCTTTTCAGCTTTAAGGACTTAAAAAAAAGTAGTATGGGCATTATTGTTAAATTTTGCTAACAAGTGATTCTTTAACTTCACAAATTGATTTTGATTAAATTACAGTATTAGTATTAAACCACAGATACTTATCTTTTATTATTTTGAAGATCTCTAGAGTTTACAAAAATACACTTCTCTTATCTTTTTTACCGGAACATGTAATGTTCTGAATTAAATCATATTACTAGGCTGTTGATAAAAGTACATTTAAGGCCTGTCTTTCCAAGAAGACCTTCATCTGACAAGATACAATTCTTGTGAAAATTCTTTGTATTTAATTTTGAAGAAAGAAAGAAATTTGGTAACACAGGGTTCAGATTCCTGGGAGGCCTTTAATAAAGTCTCTAGACTCCTTTTTAAAAGCACCAGGAAATCTTCCAAAGTCTGACTTATCTGGCAGTGATGTTATGAAATTTTGCAGATGTTCCAAAAAGATCCAGCTATATGTTAATAAACGATTACGTTATGTTAAAATTTAGTTTCACCCTGCAGTTATGAGTAATATTGAAAAGTTGGATTTGCTCTGTAAAACTGTTGTTTTGTGGAGCATGATAACTTCTAAAAAGGTGTGAAGTCTGATAGAGATATTTTCAAATTAAGGTGATGATTCCTTGATTTGTTTGAGTGTGTTAGAAACAAGATGAAAGCTGAAACTGTTGCCAAACTACAGCAGTTTGTTTGGAGGGTAAGGGAAATACCAGTGTCTTTGGAAAGAGAGTGGAGAAGTTGAGAAGCAGTTTATTGCTGCCAGTATAAACATTTATTTCAAAGATATTTAAATTCTTCATTTTGTTTCTCTGGCTGCAAATCACTCTCTTGTGGGCTGTGAATTCTGAAAAAAAAAAAAGATCCTGTTGGCTGAGTTGTTTGTTGAAAAATTAAATCATTAAAAACTTAATAAACTAAAGCACTGTCCAGTGTACAAATTTTCTGGCAATCTGGTATTCAAAGCGTCTGAAGCCCAGTTTTAAATGGCCCTTTCATGGACGAGCACATGCCTTTCTAAATTAATGGAAATTCTGAATAGCTGGAAAATTTAGCTCAAAGAATGGTGAGAATGAACAATGTACAGCTACAACATACTGAAGTTATTAAATCGTAACCTGAAATGTTCATTTTCTCATGTCTGAAAATGTTAAGTTTAGAGAAGCTATCTACTTATAGACTAATCAACATTTTGCCCTGTAGCAAAAGTACTCTTGAAATTGAAATCTTGCCCAGGGTAAAGGTTTCTGAAGTGCCTTTTCTGTTTACTGTTTCCTTTAGTTTGGTGGGATTTTGTTTTTTATGATCCATGACAAGTAGTGGAGAGTGTAAATGGAATCTTGTTTGAGGTCATGTGCAGCCGTTTTGACCTGAAGAAACTGTGTGGTGGTTGGAAGTGATAGACAAAGGTAGAAAAGCCATTTAAAAAGATAAAAAAAGCCATCAGTATTGCACAGAATGGATTGTCGAAAACAGTGCTTTATTTTTTTCAGCTTTAAGTAGAAGCAGATGTTGTGCTTTTTGTGAACACGTTTAAAGGTAGGTTCCGTTGTCAATAAATTCATTTCATATACAGTTGCTCTGTTTCTTCTCAGCTGTGGCACATCCAAGAGAAGCAGTAAAAGTAAATATGCTTTTTTTGTGGTTGCCTTTTTTCTCTGCAGTAGCTTTTGCCAGTTAAACACTTAATTCAAACCATTCAGAGGACAGAGAAGCCCAGCTGAGCACAAGGGTACCCCCCTACAAAATTCCAAGTTAAGAAATGTGGGTACATATGAATATCTCTCCATTGACCTGAGTTTTCTGTACAAGTAAATTCATATAAAATAATTATTATTACAAAATGTTTGTTTAATTAAACTTAAAACTTCTAGATTCTGATAAAAAGTACTTCATTTCCAAACATACTGTAGGAACTGGAGAATGTTAGAATGAGGTACCTCTCAGTTACTGTATTTGCTTTAAATGGCAAAAATGAATAAGTCTGCTTGTTAAAAAATGTCTTATTGATAAAATAATTTTGAGTAGTTAAAATACTAAAGCTATTTGTGTAGGTTGCCCAATATTTCAGATATTTCCTGTTCAAGGCTTGCCTTTGTCAGTAGATGGACAGGAATATAATTGCTAAAATGGCAGTTTACCCTGTAACTGGTTGAGCACAGCAAAGCTTGAATCAGTCAGGATATCCTCAGCCAGTGCATCTTAGTCCCTGGGATTTGCAATGTACCTGTGAGCTTGCAGTATTGACATCACTCTTCCAGTGCTAACTCATCTGTAAGACACAGTATAGTTTGCAGCTTGTCAAATGGCAAGTTAGCTCCACAATGGGTAAATTGAAGTAGAGCTTCCATGTTGCTGAAGTGTTCATTTCAGTTAGGTTGACGGAGAGCTTGTATCTTTTATTTGAGGTAATTAGGAATTGGT